GATAAAACTACTGGAAAAAGGACTAAACTTCAACGTAACAGTTAATAAATTAAAACCAGAGGATGTCATTCGTGCGTCGGTGGTATAGGGGTAAGGACCCTCGCTGACCATGCACATGGTCCGATGTTCGATCCCCGGCCGGCGCACTCTTTTACCTCGCTAAGCCAGAAGTAATGCTGGTGAAGAGGAAAGGTTGGGCTTGAGGCTAGCAACCCCATCCTGTAAAATAAACACTGTTACAGAAACATCAAGCCACTAGCTTGGAGCCCTACGTTACACTAGGAACGTGAAGGAAAAAAAGATGTCATTCCTAACATAGAAGTAGCACTGGGTTCAATAGATAAGAAAACAGCAGAAGAGGTTTGAGCACAATGTGCATTAACCCTAAAAAATCAAAAGAAGGCAAAATCAAACTTAACAAAATCGGAAAGAGAAGCTTTAATTAGTCTAAAACAGGATAAAAATATTGTCATCGCAAAAGCTGACAAAGGAAACGCCACCGTAGTTTTGAATAAATCTGACTACATCAAAAAAGTTACTGAACATATTCAAACGGGTCTATATGAAGAAATTAAGAGGCCTGTAGATACAATAATGAATAAGGTTAAGAAATCTTATAATTTTAGTGATTTCATAGTGGAATAATGTCCACCCTTCAAGTGTTACATTAATTTTTTCTTGATTAATTCTTACACCACTTCAAAATGTCGATATTGACTGACAAGTGCCTGTCAGCAAACTTGTCACCATTAAATCAGTGAATTATTTATTCTATTAGAAATTGATGAGAGAGTCGAACTGAAAAGTAAGTTGTTCTTCAAGTGTTGGTCTTCAGGGATTTGATTCGTTTCAGGATTTCATCATCAAGAGCTGACATCGGTTAGAGAACCATTGGAAAACCACCATCAGAGAGTACTAAACACCTGTTTCATCACCTTAGTTTGGGACTCCTCAGCGATACACACCTATCACCAGGGTTCGAAGCAATGAACTTCTGGTTACAAGGCGAGCCCGTGAACAGTTAAGTCAGTTTTGTACCAATCCGACATAAAATCAATTTGGTCAGATGCCTCACGAATAGAGCAAGACGTATTTGTACAGATAACTCCCTAGAAAATGAGCTAGGATATATCCAAAATAAGCTGGTTCAAATGGGTTATCCTAGTAGATTTGTTAGGAGACACATGAATACCAAGTACAATAAAGAAAAACTGACAACAGCTAAAAAGAAAGAACTGTTCATGAAACTGCAATTTAATGGGGACGTGGCTAGTGAAGTCTTACATCTGAGATTATCGAGAGCGATAAAACGGACTTATACTGCCGCCACCCTTTGTTTGTCATTTTCCAGCCGACCGATTTTGATTGCTCAAGTGAAAGATAAGCTACCTAGCTGTGCCACTTCGATGTGTATCTATAAATTTAGTTGCTCCTGTGGAGAAAGCTATATAGGGCGAACAACTAGACAGCTTAACAAACGCATTAATGAGCATCTTCCTTCATGGTTTGGAAAAGGTCAAATAAAATCTATAAGAAGTTCTATTTTGGCTCATTTGATTGATAGCGGTCACCAAGTGGACAAAAATAGTGCCTTCAAAGTTATCTATCACATTCCATCGAGTCTTTCGAATGGAATCAGAAACCGTCTTTTACACCTAGCCGAAGCTATGGGAATTCGAGAGAACAATCCTAGTCTTTGCACACCAAAAGAAGTTTGTTCTACCTTTGTCTCTCCCTTGGCCTAGGTGAATTGTATTCAGAACCTTCCCACCCTTTCTTATTTTCCATCTCCTTCGTACTTTTATGGTATTTATTTAAACTCTGATTATCGTTCCACTTCACCTTTTAAGATTTGACCCAATTTATTTATATACTTATATACATATACTATCTTTGTTATTCTTATCACCTGCATAAAACTTATTATCAATATTTTTTGTTATCATTATAATCATCGTTATTAACTACGTTCAAAACATTTACCACATTATTATTATTATTAAACTATTAAGATTATTATTTGATTCCCAAAATCACCGTCATTGGTTAAAAATTTTTATATATAAATCTATGTAAATTAGAGCAAAGCCTGAAGAAGATCTAATAGAAAACAATATTGGATTTCATCATGAGCTGACATCAGTTCTCTAACTGATGTCAGCTCATGATGAAATCCTGTAACCAATCAAATCCCTACAAACCAACACTTGAAAACAATATTGTTCGCTTATATGTCTTGTTCTAACAGTTAAGTCACTGGACCATATCCAATGACCAACCCATGATTTCCAACTTCTGCCGATTCGCGAAAACAACGGGACTGGCACTAGCGAATGTCATTGGCGGTGGTGAGTATTTGTCCTCAAACCTGACCTACTATACCCCACTAGTTATGACTTCCCACTATAATCCAGGTAACTACCTACGTGAATAGGTAACTTGATATGAACTAGCTGCAGTTGAGTTAAGAATTTCTGTATAGGTGAATTTCTCACTCAATTGTATTTAGTGTTGGTTTGCAGGGATTTGATTGGTTACAGGATTTCATCATGAGCTGATATCATCTACAAAACTATTGGAAAACCACCAGAGGGTACTGGACACTTGTTTCTTCCCCATGGTTTTTTGGACTCATCGGCAGTACACACACTCCATGAGAGTGTTCGAAAACACAACCTTCCCGGTTACAAGGAGACCTCATAGACCATTAAGTAAGTCACTGAAACCTCATCCATCCAATGGCCAGCCCATGGATTCCAACTACTGCCAGTTCATGAAAATAGCTCGACCATTAGTCAGTGTCATAGGTGGTGGTGACGGCGGTGGAGAGTATTTTTCCTCACATTCAATCTACTCTAACCCACTGGTCATGACTACCCCACTAGAACCCAGGTAACTAACCGCCTGAATAGGGCTAGTCACTAGTTTTGCTTATGAATAAAGGGTGGATATCGCCCTCTTAAACATTCAGAGTTCAAATCGCAATTCACCTACATCAGCCTCAACAACTTTTTATCATTAGAATCCTTTTTTACAGACAACATTTATTTATTTTTATTTTTGATTACAGCTTGATTCCACACCATATTTTTGGTAAAAGGATGGAATTTTCAATATGTGATATTGGTAGCCCAAATTTAGCAGACCAACCATTGATATCAGGTGGGCATCGGCCAGAGATCGAAACCCAGACCATATGCATGGTTCACGGGCGTTCTAAACGCTCTGCCATAGATGCACACTACGTCTTCTTATTGTTTTGTTTTCGAAACTCTTTCTTTTTTATTCCTTTACGTTCCCTGTGGAACACAAGGCTTCAAGCTAGAAGTGTTTTTATGAGGTAGGTTAGCTAACTTCACGCCCAACCTTCCCTCTTTGTCTAGCTAAGGCAGGTAATGGAGTGCGCCAGTCGGGACTCGAACCGAGAATCACGTGCATGGTCGGCCAACTCTCTACCTCTGAAACACTGACGCACTTTCGAAACTCATAAATGGAACGAATTACTTGGCATTTCATTCCATTCAGAGATCTCTTCAACTGTTTCACGTTCAAATATACTTTTAATGGAGAATAAATCAAATTAGATGAATAAAGTCATGCATTGATCAGATCGCCACATTACGGATCATCATTGAACAAAGCTTGGAATGGCAATCACCTCGCTCTACCTCAACTTCATCGACTTCGAAAAGGCCTTCACCAGACAGCGTCGATCGAGAGATGCTTTGGAAACTACTTCGCTACTACGGGGTGCCACCGACAATTATACATCTCATCCAACAGTTAGTTGTACGACAATGCTGCATGTCAAGTAATCCAAAATGGGAAACTTACGGAATCCTTCGAAGTGAGGACAGGAGTAAGACAAGCTGTCTGCCTACTATCGCCAATGATTTTCCTGATTGCAGTAGATTGGATAATGCGACAAACAGCAGGCAGTGACGAAACAGGCATAAAATGGACCCACACAAAAAACTTGGAGGATATGGAGTTCGCTGATGATGACATATGTCTGATTTCCCACAAACTGGAAGATATGCAAGTGAAAAGCAACAAGTTGGCACAAGAAGCATCAAAGATAGGATTTCAGGTGAACATAGAGGAAACAAAGGTGATGAAGATTCCCGGACAAGAACAACAACAACAGATAAGGATCAGCCAGCTTAAACGGGAGGAACCTGAAAGAAACAACCTCTTTTACCTACCTACCTGGGAAGCATCGTTTCAACTACAGGCGGACGGAACTGACGAGGATATCATCAGAGCGAGGATCAGAAAAGCAAGACAAGCTTTCACTACTCTCAAGTCTGTGTGGACGTCAACAGCACTCAGCATCAAAATGAGAATAAGATACGGATTTTCAATTCCAATGTCAAGTCAGTCAGTTCTACTCACTATACGGATCAGACACTTGCACTGTGCGTCATAAAGAGCATTTCAAACAAACTACAGACCTTCATCAACAGTTGTCTTCGCTCAATACTTTGCTCAAGATCAGATGGCCAGCGGGCCAGAAAAGATGAGCAACAAAGATCTCTGTCAATGAGCGAACCAACTCAGTAGGAACCGACTGTGCAACAAATAAGCAGGAAGAAATGGAGATGGATTGGCTGGCCATACTCTAAGGAAACAAACAATCAAGTGACATCTCTAGACAAGCCATCGCTCGAGTGGAACCCGAAAGGGAAGTGGCGAGTTGGTCGTCAGTGCGAGGGAGGTGACTTGGAGGAGGTGATGTGAAGAGGAGATGAAAGCATGTGGGCAGACTTGGAGCCAGGTGAAGACTGTAGCAGAGAACCGAACGCAATGGAGACGCACGGCTGAAGTCCTATGTTCCTCTAGGAATTAAAGGAAACAATAATTAATAAATAGATGAATAAAGTACAATTACTCTAGATTCAATGTTAACTACTTTTCATGATTCACAGGAAGAACAACAACAAAAAAAGCGCTCAACAATGATAATAATAATATGACATCACAATCTAACATAAACTCACCTCAGCGTAGACTAAATCACCAACACGACACGAGAATGGTACATTAGCACCAATTCGTCGATAATCCAAGAAAGACATAGCTCCACAACATTTTAACTAAACAGTCAAAATAAATGACTTTAGAAGACACCAAAAATATGCATTAGCTTACATTCGTTTGAATTTTATCAAATTCTGTTTGATATTCTGGTCTGTAGTAATAATAACGAACTGCAGCACGTAAAGCTTCACCTGCAACAGTACCAAACTATATTTCAAAAAAAAAATGCAAAAAGATTAGAAAATGCGATGAAGTGTCAAATAAGAGAAGAAGAAAAACAAAAACAAAGGTGTTGTAACCAACTTTATCGTGAACTACAGCGGATGCTGTGGCTACAGCCAATTGGGTAATTGTAACAATGCCTAACCCGACAGCATGCTAAAAAAATAAAAAAGAAGAAAGCAACAAAATAAAGGCAGAGTGAAAGAATTGTTTAGAAATGAAAAGCAAAAGAGTTTACAGGCAAAGAAAACTAAATTTTTGATTGAACACTAGTCAATAACTAGTGTAGTGTGTCTATTAATATATGTATAAAACTTGGGCACTGTGGTAGTAAGTAATTCCATATTAGTTTGTTTATTAGATGTATCACACAGTCAGTGAAACAGTATTATTACATACTGGATGACAAGGTTTCGAACACAATCTATTATTGTTCATAATCATATCATCAATTATAATCAAACGACTTCGAAACTTAAGTTTTATAGTTTTCTTTCTCTTCTCCTACTTGTCGTCGTTGTATATTATTATTATTTCCTTTAGTTCCTAGAGGAACATAGGGCTTCAGCCATGCGTCTCCATTGCGTTCGGTTCTCTGCTAGCGTCTTCACCTGGCTGGCTCCAAGTCTGCCCACACGCTTTCATCTTCTCTTCACATGATCTCCTCCAAGTCACCCCACCTTCGCACTGACGACCAACTCGCCGCTTTCCTTTTAGGTTCCACTCGAGCAATGGCTTGTCTAGTGATGTCACTTGATGGTTTCCTCAGAGTGTGGCCAATCCATCTCCATTTCTTCCTGCCTATTTGTTTCGCAATCGGTTCCTGTTGGGTTGGTTCGCTCATTGCCAGAGATCTCTGTTGGTGATCTCTTCTGGCCATCTGATCTTGAGTATTGAGCGAAGACATCTGTTAATGAAGGTCGTCGTTGGGGTAGTAGAATTTTGCAGATATCTGGCTGGACAGGTGTTGAATTATTCCTATTACACGTATTTCCATTCAGTTGATTCGATAAACAAAGTTTCCGTTGTTATCATTCTCTCCTTGTACCCTGGTGTATTAAACTTTAACTGTCATCTTGTCCCATCCATCCTATATTGTATTGAGCGTGTGTGTGTGTATTTGCATGCAGCATGCGGCTGAACTATTCTCTAGATTTCTTATCTTATTCGGGTCAACCAATCTAGATTTTGTTAGGTTCTTATACTCGGCTAGTCTGAAATGCCCCTGTTCTACTTGTTTGACTTATGTATTTGACCTGACAATCATTTCAGACAGGGTATACGATAATGTAAATTGTTTTGTTTTAAAGGCTACAGAGGATAAGATCGTTTAACCAACAAAGCTTGTTTCTAATTGAGTTTGTAGGTTTGAATACCCTTAAAACAAAACAGTTTAGTCAATCTAATACCCTGTCTGAAATGATTGTCAGGTCAAATACATAAGTCAAACTAGTAGAACAGGGACAGTCAGACTAGCCGAGCATAAGAACCTAGCTGCAAAATCTAGACTAGTTGACCCGAACAAGATAAAAATTCTGGAGAATAGTTCAGCCATAGATAGCAATCACTACATGCAATTACACACAACTGTACAATAATATGGGTGGGGTGAGATGACAGTTTGTTTCATAGTCTAATGTAACAGGATGGAGGAAGAGATTGATAACAATGTTTATCGAATCAAATGAATGGAAATACGTGTAATAGGAATGATTCAACACCTGTCCACCCAGATATCTGGAAAATTCGACTACCTCAACGACGACAAATAGGAGAAGACAAAGAAAACTATAAAACTCAAGTTCCAAAGTCGCGTGATAATATTTGATGATATGCTTATGAACAATAGTAGATTGTGTTCGAAACCTTGTCATCCGGTAAACAATAATACTGTTTCACAGTGTGATACATCTAATAAACAAACTGATATGTAGTCTGTCTAGTCCTATCTTTGGTGCAGTCTGAATTAACTATCAGTCAGTCAAGTTTGCAGTGTAGTCACCATGCCCACTGTGTGGCTTGCAATCATGGTGCACTGGAAAATTGTTGATATAGTAAATGTTTGGAGGCAATCAGTCGCAAGAAGACTTGCTTGGTCTAGGTTTCGTGCTAGTTGGCACTCACCAGTCAGCAAGGCGTGTATCTGTAGCTTAAGATGACGCGGGTTTGAATCTCAGAAGGGACATGAGTTCCTTCAAGGTGACTGCAAATACGTCTTGCTTACTGGTGATTGGAAACTAGCCCGAAACCTAGTTGTCAGACAGGGCTTCCTGTGGCCGACTACTTTCAACACTATATCAATAAGTCATCTACGCTCACAGAATATCCTCTGGTTCTGTACGCAGATGATTCAGAAATCTGGAAGCAGCTAAATAAACGGCGATAATGACGTATTGACGTTGCGAGGAGATCTCAATAAAATTTTAATACGGTGCAAAGAACAAATTCTCCAAGTCGAAATCGTCAAGTGAGAAACCATATGAATGAGACAGACACGAAGTTATACATCTTTATGGACGATACGCACAGCGTTTACTAGAATCACCAGCAGTATGTTCACTTCTTTATATACATATCTGGTGACGTTGAAATTGGAAAACTGCATCCAAGTGAACAATCTTTGTCTTAACAGGGACTCACATATCCTAGAAATGATTCAAAGGAGGGCGACACATATGATTCTTCGCATGAATAATTTATCATACGATAGTTTGAATGTCTCCTCCTTGTTATACCCCAGGCAGGCAGAGAGGAGATCTCATTACAACGTTTAAGATTTTAAATGATGACTATGGACTGGATATATATTATCTCTTTTCCTTCCCACCATGTGGGAACACCTCAGAGGACACAGCAGAAGAGTTCAAAATCCAAAGGAGGAGCACACTGCTGTGGAGTACTCGTCGTCGCATAGGTAGATAGATAGATAGATAGATAGATAGATAGATAGATAGATAGATAGATAGATAGATAGAAAAGAGGCTCTGTTTGCTGAACTTTTTTGCTTATTTCCTCTCGAGAAAGAAACGATTTTCATTACGAAAAATATATAAAAATGAGGAGAATCCTTAACAAAGACAAACTTACTATAATGAAAATCAACTGTCTTCTTTTCCACAGACCAACGAAACCAATACAAGCAACTACCATGCTGAAGATTCCACAAAAGATAACTGTTGGAAATATTGCCGGTGTCGAAGCTCTAATTATTGTATTGTATTTCACCAAAGTTGTTTGTGCTTTAATACCAATAACGAATAGTATGAACCCGAAAACCTTTGGATTGTATAAAAAGAAATATGGGTATATATTCGTTGTTTATTTAAGAATAGATAGATAGAATTGATTCAGGGTGATAATGAAGGTTGTCAGCAGGGTAAGCAACGTGCCACTTAACCAGCTTGTTAATATTCTGGTTGACAGGCACATGGACTCATGTGAAAAATGGGCCAAATCCATTTTTATTATCTAACTCACACCACCCTCTTCACTCACAACTCTCCCCTCGCATCTCATCAGGAAAAACCAGAAGCCTATATAGAAAACTATATGCTCGCACCAGCAAGTACAAAAACTCAACCATACCCTACTTAGCTCGTGTTCTGTGTGATAAAGAAAGCATTAGGCGTGACACATATAATTCATTAAATAGTCAGTAGTACAACTGGATCTCGTCTTTCCAACTCATATCATTTATAGGTACAACATTTTCTTTCTTTCTTTTCCTTTTCTCTCTCTCTCTTTTTTCCGTTATGTGCTGCTTTGTTTCTTTCTCCCGCTTACGCCAGTAAATATGACAGCTCCTACTTTTCTAACACCTTCAAACACTGTTCACCTTTGGCTTTGCTACCGACATGCCAATATGTTGTTGTCATAATGAACTGAGATTTCCTTAATCTATGTAGAATTCTATTTATTGATAATGTACACAACTGGATGCAATACTGTAGTAAAAATGCTGAGAATTCCATTCTGTATCACAAGTACTGTTTTGGAATAAAGCAAATTATTATTATTAAGAAATTCTTTTTTAAGCTCTACAGTTGTTTATTTCCTAGCATACAAAATAGCACCAGTGAAGGTAAATTAGAATTATATATATATCAGAAGGGGCATTGTGTGTCTGGTACAAGTACTGTTATTGTTCCTTTGGGTTCCAAGTGGAACTTAGAGCTGCAACAGCACGTCTCCACTTTGTCCCCTTTTGGTTTGTCCAGCGATTACTCATAGTCTCTGATCTCTTCCTCACACGATTTCCTCCGTGTCAAACTGTGTGATCCATGCCCCACCACTCATCATTTATTATTATTTAGGTTGTACTCAAGCAATGGCCTGCATTGAGCACACAATGTGTCATTCGACAGCCTCCTCCTCAGTGTGTGCTGAATCCACCTACACTTATGTCGGCAATAGGTTTATGATTGATCTGTCCCCATAGTTCCCACAGCGGTACAGGTATAGAATGGAATAATCATAGTTAGCCAGTCAGTGAGCATTGGTTACCGTTTAGAAAATGTGTGATCAAGGGGTGAGTGTAGTCCACCGTGTATGGAACAGTATGAACAATACACACACACACACACAAATAAACCAACAAATAGGATGATGGGCTAGATGTAATTTCAAGGGGGACAAATAACAATAAAAATGATGAAATTAACTATGGCGTAATCATGTATACCATAGATATGAAACTTTTCTTTTCTCAAATTAAGTTACAACGATGAGATTGCAACAGACATTCTAAAATGTCAAGCTAATAATCGATCAATAGACAGTTCATTTCCTACTGCGAAACTGCTACACAAAGAGTCAAAGATAAATTACCAAATGATAGCCTCATCAAACAAAATGTACGTCTATGTGAATTCAACTGTTTCTATAGAGCTCAGTTACATCGGCTGTACTCATAGGATTTTATCTATGCACACACACACACACACGTGAAAATGTACCTGTATGCTTGAATAAACGCGTAACCAAATGCGTAAATAGTACAGTTTTAGCCTACTTGGTAGATAATATTACTATTATTGTTCCCTTGAGTTCCATAGGGCTTCAACTACACGTCTCCACTTGCTTCTGTTTTCCGCTGTACTCTTCACCTGCATCCATGTTAGTTCATATTGTTTCAGCTCCTCTTCACACGATCTCCTCCATGTCACCCTCGGATGTCCCACTCGCCGCCTCCCTTTCGAGTTCGACTCGAGCACTGGCCTGACACGCGATGTCACCCAGCGGCCTCCTCAGCGAGTGTCCAATCCATCTCCACTTTCTCCTGCATATTTGTTTTTTAGCGATTAGTTCTTGCTTTGTTTGTTCCCATAGTTTCTTGTTGGTTCTTGTTCTTTCCGGCCATCTGATCTTCAGTATAGAGCCAGCGAAGACAGTTAGTTGTTGATAAAGGTCTGCAACAGGCTGTTGGAAATATTCTTTGTGACCCACCAAGTCTTTGATCCATCCGTATAGAAGAACTGACTGACTTGACGTTTGTATTGAAAATCCGAATCACTTTGTTGTTGATGCAGGCTGAGTGACAGCGGAAGATTTCCAGATTGGTTGGTTTCAGGTTGATGAATGTGTTTCTCGCCTTCCCGATTCTCGCTCGATTTGACATCGTCGTCCGTTCCTCCTGTAGTTGAGACAATGCTCCGTAGATAAGTGAATGAAGTAACCTCTTTCAAATCCCTCCCGTTGATGGTGATTGGCGTTGGATGCCGCTGTTGTTGTTGGTTGGTTGGTTATTTTCATAACCTCCGTCTTGTCTATGTTCACTTGGAGTCTTGTCTTGAAAATAAACCTGACCAAGCATTCTCATTTTTTTTACCGTGTTCCTGGTAATCTATCTAGATGACCTCGACTACGTCTTCTATCAGTAGCTGATGTGGTAGCAATCAATACCAGAAGATTGGGTCTTTGTATACAGAAGAAGTATGTTCAATCGCTATGTTTATCTTGACCTACAATAAAACCAACAAATCCTCCATAAACATTAGCATTTTAAATTCCTATCACAATTTGGTTTTTCTTTTCTTCTTCTCTTCCTTTGTTTCATTGACAAACTTTCATTTCTGACCTTTTACGACCTCATTAGCTTCCTCGTTATCTATATTACCTTAAGTTTACGTAATGTTACGCAATCTTGTTTGTTTCAATTCATTAGATTCTCTATTACCTGATGATCGTCCATGTATAGTACTTTTATGTTTACACTACACCATCGCTATTATTTCATCATCACTCTTGAACTTACATCTAGTCTATCCCATTTGTTGGTTTATTCCTCTGTAGTGTATTGCTGGTGTCTCACACACCACTGATTACAATCACCCCTTGAAACCGCCTCAGCCACACGTCTTCATTGCGTTCGGTTCTCTACCAAAGTTTTTACCTGACTCCACGTCTGCCCACATGCTTTCATTTCCTCTTCACATGACCTCCTCCATGTCACCCTCACACTGACGACCAGCTCGCCGCTTCCCATTCGAGTTCCACATGAGTGATGGCCCGACTTGTGATGCCACTTGATGGTTTTCTCAAATTATGTATATATATATATGATTCAATTATTTTTATTCCTTCACGTTCCCAGTGGAACATAAGGCACCTTCAAGCTAGAGGCTTGAAGTTTCTGTAGAAGTGGTGTTTATTACTTTTACAGGATGGGGTTGCTAGCCAGTCTCATGCCCAACCTTCCCTCTTTACCAACTTTCATTTCTGGCTTAGCGAGGCAAAGGAGTGCGTTGGTGGCCGGAGATCGAGCCACGGACCATGTGCATGGTCGGTGAGCGTCCTAACCACTGTGCCACCAACGCACTATGATTGAATTATTTCATCTCACTTAATCTCATATACTTAGTCATTATGCGTATTATAAACGGCGATTAAAACTCACTGACCGACTATGATCATTCCGTCTTGTACTTGTACCATGCAACAATACACTTTATGTTATATAATTCAAATTCACCTTTACTGGCGATATTAATAATAATAATCTACTTTATTCCAAAAACAGCACTACTTATAATACAGAATGGAATTCTGAGCATTTGTCACAATATTGCATCTGATTTACTCAAAATATAAATAAAGTTAAAAATTAAAACTAAATTAACCAGAGGAATTCGTCCACATTTACTACATAAAGTCAAAAATATTCAAAGCACGAATTGAGATTATTAAATATGATAATAATAATAATAGTGAGTTTGTTTCAAACGGTATTGTCGATTCAGTTTGAAAATTTTAGCATGTTATAAAGTATTGAATCTAATGTTCTGTTGATAAAGTATGGTGAGAGGAAATACAAAATTAAAAGTTATAACACAGCTTAAATGATGTTCACACTTATGAAAAAATAAACAAATAAAAACAAAAAATGTGAGGGGATTATAAATATAAGAAGAACAATAACAATAAAGCTTGATGTTGTAAGGGTGGAGGAAATGGTTTATTTAGTAGTGCAAAGAAGGTTAGTTAGTTCATGTCTGACACTATTTTCATCACATAAAGTACGTGTTAAATATGGTATAGTGGAATTTTTATACTTAGACGTACGTGCATAAATTCTTCTGAAAAGACTTCTTGTTTTACCTGAGGAGACACAAGGTTGGAGCTGCGGGTAGAGTGGGTACTCAGAGTCTGACAAAATTCCTTTACCAAATTTGTTGCATGACATCAAGTGCCTATCAATGAAAATGTTAACGATATGGCCCAATGGGATACCACTCGTCCTACTGACAATCTTCAGAGTTCTGCGATGTATGACATAATCCTTTTTTAGCAATCCAGGAAAGAATAAGGGTGAACAGTAAAGAAGAATAGGTAAAATACACGAGTTGATTAACTGTAAGAGGAGGGGTTGAGTTATTCCTGAGTGCCTTAACCTCTTCTTAATGAAAAAAGTCAGACGAAATATTCTTTTAGAAATTGCTAAGACATGGGAGGACCAGGACATGTCAGAGGATAGAATTAAACCAAGATACCTAACTTCAGACTTGGTTTCTTTATCAATATCATCAATTATGGAAGGATCATAGGAACTCAAAGCTTCATCATTTAACTTTCTTTTACATCGGAAACTGAAATTAACAGTCTGACATTTGCAAGGATTAAGTTTAAGGCCGTTAGACGAAGACCATTTGCTAATTCCTGATAGAAAGTTGTTTATCTTAGTGCAGTGAAGCTGAGAGTTAACAGACATTGAAATAGTTAGATCATCGGCATTCTTAACAAAGTTCATTTCATCAGAGTGAGGCAAGTCATGCAAGAAG